CCGCTTGTTGATTTTGCTCACTCTGTGAGTTCAACTGGTTTGATAAGACATATGCACTAGAACTGTGATAATCAGCGGAAGCTATTGACCATCTTCAAAAACATCACATGATACTCTTTTTTTTTTTTACAAAACACCAACCTGCTGTGTCCGGTCTTGTTCCAGTTGTCACCAACTGTCTGCACGAACTCGTCACTATCCACGATGCCTTTCGTTGGGTATCAAATGGGCAACTTGCGCGTATATATGTGATGTTTTTGAAGATGGTCAATAGCTTCCGCTGATTATCACAGTTCTAGTGCATATGTCTTATCAAACCAGTTGAACTCACAGAGTGAGCAAAATCAACAGGCGGGGCTTACGAACACAATCAATTACAAGCAAACTAAGCAGTGGATATCCGGACTAGGTCATCAAAAATATCAATTCGGTTAATCGACCACCTAACCGGACAGCCGCAATGTCGATGCGGACTGTTTGTAAACACAGATGGATGGAAAGGTGTGCTCACGGCAAATTGCCTAGCATATTCCCTTATGATTTTAAGTAATAATCTGAAGATTTTAGAGGTAGTCTCTGTGTCTGGTTTCAAGCAGGTGTTTAGCGATTACGGGTACTAATTGTACTTGTAAACCTCCGTCTGCTGTCGTCGAGTGTACGTGTAGCTACATTAAAGTCTGCTCACCGAATGTGCTTTGCTCCTTAAACATAATAATGAAAGCTTCAAGAAGGGACTTTAAAAAAACGGTGTTTAACACATTTCCAGACGGCTCTGATAAATGTGTAAACAATTTGTTTCCAATTGAGTTCATTTAGGCAGAATAGGAAACACTTTATTTTGGACTGAAATTTTACGTAACACAAAATAACTGGTCTGTCAGCGATATAAAACCCAGTTTGAAGCTAGTTACATCAACCAAAACATCCGAATCACACTTCCGAAAAACAGCATAACTCGATAAAATTAAAATTGTGGATAAAGCACAACATTGCCGAAAACGTTAGGCTGAGCAAAAAAGCCTTTCTTGTCCAACACATTTCACAATGTCGAAGCAACTGGTTGAATACATAATCAACGATTTCAGGACCAAAGAAGATCCGGCGTTGTACCCGTAGAGGAAACTGATCATATTACTAAGCTGCGTTCCACCTCCAGTGATATGGAAAGCTTTGTATCTAATAAAAACAAGATATTATCCAGAAAACCGAGGTGACGATCCCGTGATTACTTTTTGAGCTACTACGAGAATATGTGTTAATAATGAAACGAAGTAATGAGTTCAAGACGTCAGGAAACAGCGCGTCACGCCAACGCATGGTGGTCGAGCAACGATCAAATAACGAACTACGAAGGCCCTGATTGTTCCATTGAGTAAAGTGGATAGGTGTTATCTTCCTTGCTAGGGTCCTCGAGATCATTCAGATCAGTGGCTCGAAACGCAACCCGAGATGAGAGCATGCCGCAATCAATGGCACGTTTGAATTCATGTCATTTCTAGTTTTCCCGCCATCTTCTATTAATTTCCATCCTTTTAGTAACATCGTCTAGATTATTCCACGTCACGGTTGATGTCAGCGGCAGCCCGAGCTACAGTACCTTCTGGTCAGGCTCAGGGTCATTATGATAATGGTGGTGATTCCAATGGCTGACTATCTAAAACACAAAATCTGGATGCTCCTGTGCGAACAACCCTGTCGACGGTTAATTTACCTCAGCGTAAACTCGTTGGATGGTTCGTGGACATATTGGTATCGGTACGGATACCGTATAAAGAGGTCAGTATTAAACACTAAGTTTCATAAGACCATCAACTCCAGTAAGTGAATAGTGGTGAAAAATATTTGACACACAACAGCTATCTACAAATATTCCTTTAGGTGAGGCTCCTGAGTTTACAGGCAACTATAATGAGTTAAAAAATATCACTTCGTCCGTCATCTGTAGTCAACTTGAAACACTTCTTAAACTATGCAAACACAAAGTACAGTTCAATTCTGCAGACTGTCAAATTGACGGGGATGCTATGGGTAGTCAACTGCGACCTACACTGGCGAACTAATCACCACAAGGTTGGAGGATAAGAAACACATTGAAGAAGTATGCTTATACAAACAATACACGGACGACATCTAGGTCATGGCCAACCGCAAAACCTACGAAAACAAACTGTTTGTTGTAATTATCTCCAAGCACAACATATTACACGAATCACATGTTTTTGCTGTCGAGTACAATATCACTTTCTGTGTTTGCTAAGAAGGACAACCGGAACGATTCTGTCACATCCCATGTGATGTACAAGTGTACATGTCATTTTGGAAAATGCTACATTGAGAGGACTAGTCATTCGCTGAACAAACGGACCACCGAGTACAGTGTGCTATAGTTACGAGCACATCGAGAATTTGCTGTCGCAGATTTACAAGCCCAAAAACGATGCGTAATCTTCTCAGTCGCCAAATACCTAGGTGAAACTGGACACAAGTAACCAACCCCAAGCTAGTCAGTATGTCATTCATTTGGGAATAAGTAGAGAGGTATCTTGAAATTCGCCGAGGTCTAATCAATCAAGTGCATCTGCCCATCCCTATCTATTCACAAACAATTCGCACTAATGCTGTGGATGCCGCAGTAGGCAGACAATTAGTAAGGTTGGTCTCGTTTAGACACAATCAACTATATCACAACTGTTTATTTCTCCAAGATATCTCATACCTGCATAGTGTTAGAATTAAAAGGTCAGTTTTTCCGACAGATGCAGAGTATTTCATTCCAAATTGTCAAGCTACTGCTCCGCAAAACCGGGCGTTGAAAAAGATCATCGCAAGCACCCGCCCCTCAACCAATACATGAATGTCTCGCAGTCCCATCTACTCTGAGGAGTTGCAGTAGTTGTCGGTGTTTAGGAACTGCGTTTCCAGCTTTTGCTTCATAAAGTGTTCGCAACCACACTATAGACCAAGTCGCACTTAGACAGGATGCTTTTATCCTGTCTGACTGTAGACAGAAGAAGTCATGGGAGTATGGATCCTTGTCCTGGTAGTCGGGTGTCATTACCACACACCATTTTGATTCGAATGGACCTTTTGTATTTCAGTCGAGGTTTTGGCGATATCAACGCCAGGTGAAAATCAAATGCTGTCTGCTTGCCTGAATGGTTCACGTTCGTAGCAAATGATAAACAAACTGTGGAATAGTATTTACGTGAAAAACGCCCCAAGACAATGCTTTTACTGTGTACGATTAACGCCAATTCTCGAATACATCCAACTTCGTGCTTTTCGCACTGAAATATAATAGCATCGTAACAAATCAGCAACATGATCGCTAAAATTTTACAACCAGCACTAATCTCCAGTGCCTATCAAAATATATAGAGTTTCCTGTTCACAGCAAACACTCACGGAATACTTAACGTCGCAGTATC